TTCCTCCCTCACTGACTACCTACCAGACCACCCCAACCCAACCCGAAGACCCAAATTTCGGGTTGGGGGGGTATGGGTTCCATACGTGTTTTTTCGATGTTCCCCGACCCCCCCCACTGGAAATGGAGGGCAAATGGAGGCCTTGGGGTTGGGTTGGGGTGGATTGGTAGGTGGTGACTCACCCCCCTCCGTCCCCCTCCCTCCTCGGGAAAAGGAGCAGGACGAGCAGCAGCAGCAGCAGCAAATGGAGGGGAGACGGCCGAAGCCCACTCTGCCGAAGCTGACGCTGATGATGGGAATCTGCCGAAGCGGACCTGCCGAAGCGGACTGCCAAAGACGACCTGCCGAAGGGGATCTGCCGAAACGGATTTCTGCCGAAGCTGGCTTCTCCCGAAACGGACGTTTGCTAAAGGGGATCTGCCTAAAAGGACTTGCCAAAGCGGACGTCGGCCGAAACGGACTGCTGCCGAAGAGGTATTATCTCCTCTTGGTAGCCTCGTGGGCCGCTAGTTTCACGAAGTGGGTGCCCAACTGCTGCCGAGGCGAAGAGAAATTGCTAATAACCGGCAGCTGCTGGGGCGCCCAATACAAACCACAAACAGCAGCAGTTGCAGGATCGAAAATGATCCAGAACATCGCCAGACCCAAGCGGGCCGAATTGGAAGCAGGTATGAGAGGCGTGTCCGAGAGCCCAGAGTTTGTCGAAACTATGACTTCAGCCAACATAGCCAAGGAAGAGGGCTGCGAAAGAGAACGGGGGGTTGCAACATTTCGGAGAGCTTGGCTCCCAGAGACCGGGCTTCCAAGATGAACAATTGCGCCAATTTCCCTAACAATGGGAGTGCTGACACCAGCTTGGGAGGAGTGTGTGAATTTTGACTGGGGTTGGCAACCTCTGACTTGTTTCACGTAGGCGCTGCATTTCAACCAGGGTCAATCATCATGAAGCGGCGCGGTCTGGCCTGTAGCGGGAACCACCCCATGGTTGGCCAGCGCGAGGAACTGTAACATCTTGCGTTCTGGCTGGTCCCCGGGAGAGCTTACCCCCATCTCCAACTCACCGAAGGATGTTCTCGTTTGCTGTGGACCGCTGCCAGTCAAGCGTCCGAAGAGATTGCTAAATTGGGCGAAAAAATACAAAGGATACCCAAAAGGCACCAGAGAGCGACAAAAGCGCAAACCACCCCCCCTAGGGCCAAGCACAGCATCCCGGCCTTCAGCCTCCACACGCCACAAGAAACGGCCCGAAAACGCCAGGAGGAGAAGCATCGAAGGAGCGGGGCAACCAGCGGCAAGTCAGAGGAGGAGAGAGGAGGAAGACTATCGTCATGAACCAACGTGGCCCTGAGGGAAACGGGTTCTTGACGCCCCGCGGGGCCCAGTGCCATCCTCCTTCTCCTCTTCCCCATAATCGTCCTCCTCCTCGTCCTCCTCCTCCTCGTCCTCCTCCCTCACTCCACTATCCTCGTCTTCCTCGTCCTCCTCCCAATGCATCTTCCCTCCTCCCTCTTGTCCCCCTGGCAGAGCCACCAATGTGAAAACCAGACTGCGAAGATCAATGACGCAGCCGTCCCCCTATACTTTTCCGCCGCAGGAGTTGCAAAAGGAGAGCCATCGTGACAGAGGGCTGGCTGGGATAGGCCGTAGCACAAAGCCTCAGACCTGCTCAGCGCGTGCACGCGCTGTGAATCTGCTGCGTCCACGAGTGATCATCTGGTCCGAGGAGCCCTGCGGGATCGCTCCCGACACCCGAGACGAACACCTCCAGGTCATTCTGGTAGTACACATCCCCATAGTTTTTGCGCCAAACTGAAGACCAGGTCAGGGTGACCGTATTCGGGACATCGCCGAGGTTGCAAATGGCACTGTACATCGCTGAGCGCTTGCGGAAGCTGTTCTTGGTGGGAAGCGCGACCACTCGAGGTCGGGTAAATGTGCACGTCGGCATGTCTGCAAGGAATTCCGTCACAGTCTTAGAGACACCATCGATTTTCAGGCCCAGTGCATCGGTGGTGTTGAAGTCGTCGCTGCCAATGCTGAACTCCAAAGAGCTGAAGCTGCCGATCTTCGTGCCGAAGACGGTGACCTTGCGGATGAGGAGATCGTCGCAGTCTTTGAGGCCGACGTCTTCAAGGGTCGCATTGACCACCAGGTCCGCAGCGCTGGGCGACACGATGTCCGCGTCCTTGGGCATTCCGATCAGATTGAACTCTCCGGGCCAAGCCACATGGAACTTCTCGCCGAGAGTGTTTGTGAACTCTGGATCCAAGGCTGCCGAGGAGGCTGCTCTCACTACTCCAGCTCCGAGGCGAGAGCCCAACAGCTGCATGGGCTCCTGCGAGACTTGCAATCCACTAACGCCAGCGGCGGCTGACAGGGACAGGATGCGGAGCATCTTCCGAACTCAATTAACTGCAGAACAGCTCCACCGAAAGTGGATATGAAATGAGAGTTCGGTTGTCAAGAGTAGCTCGAACCAACGACAATGTCGATAATGATGATGATGACGCTGATGGTGATGCTGATGGTGCTGATGATGATAATGATGGTTATCATGATGGTGATGATAATAACATGATGCTGTTATGATGATATGATGATGATATGATGATGATATGATGATGATGATGATGATGATGATGATGATGATGATGATGATGATGATGTTGTTGATCACTGCCCTGAGAGTGTCGAAGCACCGGCAGCTCCTCATGCTGGTAAAGACTTGAAGACAAGGAAAACAGTAAACAGTTCAGCTACATATGGCGGTTCCCGCCATCTTGCCCAAGACATGCTGTGTCCAGGCTCTCTCTTGCAACTTCCAATCGCGTCTGTTCATAGCCGCTTCCATCCAATCGCGGTTCGATGATTCAAAAAATCTTGCGAATTGGCCTTCCCAATGATGATGATGATGATGATGATGATGATGATGATGATGATGATGATGATGATGATGATGATGATGATGATGATGATGATGATGATGATGATGATGATGATGATGATGATGATGATGATGGCGGTGATATGATGGTGATGATAGTGATGTTGATGCTTATGACGGTGATGATTCGGAGGATGACGAGGATCAGAATGATGACGAGGAAGAGCAGGACATAATGAAAGACGGCCAATCCAATCGAACGAACCGAAAGTCACCAAACCATTGAAAAAAACATGATCGTCGACAGCCCACAGACGAGGTGGGGCGGGAGGAGATCGCAACGACAAGCGAGGAAGGATGATGGAAAAGGGATGATGGATGAAGAAGGCATTCGACGTCGTTGATATCGATACATCCACCACCGTGCCTGGAGACACGAGTTAAGATATCCTCACGTCTCGTCGAGATCTGTGCGCTGAAAATGGTGAATTCCCCCCGGGATGGGCCTGACGACAACTTGAAAACAAGAAAGATGGTGAGTTCCATGCTTGTCCGAGTTGCCCCAAACCCTGTATGAGAAGGCTGCCAAATCGCCCAGGATGCTCCGAAGCGGGCCCAAATGGCCCAAGAAGGATACCAATATCCGCCGGCCCTCTTGCGGGGCCATCAGGCTGCGAGGATTAGGCTTGCTGCTCCCTGCGCCAGTTGCAGTTTCAAGTCTCAAATGTTACAGTCCTGCTTTCTGCTTCCTTCTGTAATTCAATTATTGGAGACCGCGCGAGGGGGGGAGCCAAAAAGCACCTGGTTACCACTCCCGAATCGCGTTCTCTGAATTCTTGCGGGGCCGTGGGACAGAAAACATGATCGACCCACGAACCCGGAAAGGAATATAGAAATGTAAGACATGGCAACGTTTCAAAGACACCTGATTGGGCGACGGGTAAATGCAATGCTTAGTGTATCGACCTTGATGTACCGTGCCGAGGGCTGTGCTGTGCTGTGCCCTGCTGAATTGCGATGTGCCATGCCACGAGTGTGCTCTATAGCGTTGTGGTTCGAGTCCTCCTTTGCATCCGAGTCCTGACCGAACTGATCTGGATCTTAAGCTCGAGCTGCCTAAGCACATAACTAGTAGCTGCCCCAGAGTTGATTGACAAGGGAACATGCCAGGAAGACGCGCCGCAGAACGTCCCAAGGGACGCGCCAGGCGACGTGCCAGGGGACGTGCCATGGGGTCGCACCGCTGGACGTGCCAAGGGGACGCGCTACGGAATGTGCCAATGGACGTGCCACGGGACGTGCCAAGAGACGCACCAAGCGAGGTGTCAGGGGACGTGCCACGGGGACGCACCGCGGGACGTGCCAAGGGGACGCGCTACGGAACGTGCCAATGGACGTGCCACGGGACGTGCCAGGGGACGCGCCGCGCGACGTGCCAGGGGGACTCGCCACAGGACGCGCCACGGAACGTGCCAAAGAACGTGCCAAGTTGCAATGCTGAGTGAGTGTATCGATCTTGATGTACCGTGCCGCGGGCTGTGCTGTGCTGCGCCGTGCTGAACTGCGATGTGCCACGTGACGATTGTGCTCTATAGCGTTGTGGATCGAGTCCTCCTTTGCATCCGAGTCCTAACCGAACTGATCTGGATCTTAAGCTCGAGCTGCCTGAGCACATAGTAGCTGCCCCAGAGCTAATTCACGGGGGGCATGCTAGGAAGACGCGCCGCCGAAAGTTCCAAGGGACGCGCCAGGCGACGTGCCAGGGGACGTGCCATGGGGACGCACCGCGGGACGTGCCAAGGGGACGCGCTACGGAACGTGCCAATGCATTATGGACGTGCCACGGGACGTGCCAGGGGACGCGCCGCGCGACGTGCCAGGGGGACTCGCCACAGGACGCGCCACGGAACGTGCCAAAGAACGTGCCAAGTTGCAATGCTGAGTGAGTGTACCGATCTTGATGTAATGTGCCGAGGGCTGTGCTGTGCTGCGCCGTGCTGAACTGCGATGTGCCATGCCGCGATTGTGCTCTACAGCGTTGTGGATCAAGTCCTCCGTTGCATCCGAGTCCTGACCGAACTGATCTGGATCTTAAGCTCGAGCTGCCTGAGCACATAGTCCACGAAGTAGCTGCCGCAGAGCTAATTGACAAGGAATTATGCCAGGAAGACGCGCCGCGGAACGTTCCAAGGGACGCGCCAGGCGACGTGCCAGGGGACGTGCCACGGGGACGCACCGCGAGACGTGCCAAGGGGACGCGCTACAGAACGTGCTGGGGACAAGCGTCGTGTTGGTGGCCTGGACACGTAAAAACACTGTGCCAGCTCGGGACAACCATGAGAGATACCCCCTGGGTGGCCTGGACACGTAAAACACGTGGTTCCAGCTCGGGACAATCATGTTAGAGATCTCCCTGGGTGGCCTGAGCATGAAATTACACTGCGTCCGCGCTCCCAGGGCTACGATCCCTCGTAAAATACACTACACCCGCGCTCCCAGGGCCACGATCCCTCGTAAATTACGCTACGTCAGCGCTCCCAGGGCCACGATCCCTCGTAAGGGCTCCTGGGCCCTCCTGGGTCTTCCTTGGACCTCTTGGGCCCTCCTGGGCTCTCCTGGAGCCTCCTGGAGCTTCTCCTGGGCCCTCCTTGGGCCCCCTGGTGCCTCTTGGAGCCTCCTGGGTCCTCCTGGGCCCTCCTGGGCTCTCCTGGGCCCTCCTGGGCTCTCCTGGGCTCTCCTGGAACCTCCTGGGCCCTCCTGGGCGAAGTCAAGGTCCGAAAACACATGGGACTTGCCACATTTCTGAAATTCGGTGCCACCCCTCACGCAGGTCGGCGGGGTCAGTATCCGAAAACACACAGGATTTGCCACATTTCTGAAATTCGGTGCCACCCCTCACGCAGGTCGGCGGGGTCAGGGTCCAAAAACACAGGGGATTTGCCACATTTCTGGAATTCCGCGCCACCCCTCACGCAGATCGGCGGGGTCAGGGTCCGCGCCACACCTCACGCAGATCGGCGGGGTCAGGGTCAAAAAACACATGGGATTTCTGCTATTTCCGAACTTATGCAACTTCAAGAATCCAAAACTCCGTTCCCAGCGCCGTTCCGTAGGCCGCAGTACCTCGTTATTTATCGAGCGAACGCGTTCACCTTGTTTTTTATCGTTTAGAAACGATGTCGGAAAAAAGTGGACTTCACCTCTGAAATATCGAGGTTTCCTTAAAGGCAGTAAAATTCCAAGAGCACGATCTGCGTGAGGGGTGGCGAAAAAATGGCCTTCGTCCTCACAATTGAAATCCGCCGGCCCCCTTCGACCTCGTAATTTATCGCACAAGAATTCCGCCGGCCCCCTTCAAGTAAAAACCGGGGGGTAAACCTACTAAAAGAGAACCCTGGGCCCAGGCCCTTTCCGGGAAAAAATACTCAAGATTCGCGCTCCCGACGCAATAGTGTTCATAAATTACACTGGGTTCACACCCCGAGGCCGCGATCCATTACAAATTGCACCGCAGTCGCGCCCCCGAAACCACGATCCCTGGCAAAATACAACATATTCGCGCCCCCGAGGCCACGATCTCTTGCAAATTACACTACGTTCGCGCCTCTGGGGCCACGATCCTTTGTAGATTACATCCCCTATAAATCACACCACGCATGAGCCCCCGAGGCCACGATCTTTCGTAAATTACGCTGCATTCGCGCCCCGAGGACACGATCCCGTGCAAATTACACAACATTCGCGCCCCCGAGGCCACGATCCTTTGTAAATTACCATACGTTCGCGCCTCTGGGGCCACGATCCCGTGTAAATTACGCCACACTTGCGCACCCGAGGCCACGTTCCCTAAACATGATCGACCCACGAACCCGGAAAGGAATGTAGAATTGTAACACATGGCAGCGTTTTCAAAGACACCTGATTGGGTGACGGGCAAATGCAATACTGAAGGTATCGATCTTGATGTACCCTGCCGAGGGCTATGCTGTGCTGCGCCGTGCTGAATTGCGATGTGCCATGGCGCGACTGTGCTCTATAGCCTCGTGGATCGAGTCCTCCTTTGCATCCGAGTCCTGACCGAACTGATCTGGATCTTAAGCTCGAGCTGCCTGAACACATAGTAGCTGCCCCAGAGCTAATGGACAGGGGAACATGCCAGGAGGACGCGACGCAGAACGTCTCAAGGGACGCGCCAAGCGACGTGCCAAGGGACGTGCCATGGGGACGCACCGCGGGACGTGCCAAGGGGACGCGCTACGGAACGTGCTGGGGACAAGCGTTTCGCTCGAGACATCCTGTCAAAATCATCTGAATTCCTACGCGCGGGACGCTGCACGCGCGAGACATCCTCGGAATTCCTGCGAGCGGGACGTGAAAACAAACATTTCGCCTGAGACATCCTTTGAATTCTGGCCCCCCACGAGGCCACAGCTCGAGACATCCTCCAAGTTTGCAAAACCAGCGTTTCGCTCGAGACATCCTCAACAAATTATGAAAAACAAGCGTTTCGCTCGAGACATCCTGTCAAAATCCCAAGAAATCCAAATACCCGCGCGCGGGACGCGGCACGCGCGAGACATCCTTGGAATTCCTGCGCGAGGGGCGCTTTTCCGTGT